GAAACTTTCCCAGAACTGCAGTGACTTTTCTCTGACCTCCAGGAACTGGAGCTCTCGAGCCCTGACACTCCGACTGGCACAACCAAGACCTGGATACCACTTTGGGATGTCAGCTTTCCCAGTGCATGCTGGATGAAAGCCGCATCTGAGCAACACCAGCTAAAAATAAAAGCTATTCAACTGAAGCTAATGGCGGGTTGCCATGAGTTATTGCTCATTAAAGTGAATTGTCAGATGCTTAACTTCAGCTAATCATTTCCTGCTGTGAGATCGGCCTGGTATGAAACATACTCAAATGTGGGAAGGGGATTCACAATAACTAAATTTAGCTGAGGGTGTAATTTCCTCGGACTCCCTCTGTAGTTAATGGAAAGAGAGAGGATCCTACAGGGTGTGATTCCCACTCTGCATTACCCTTGGGCAGAAGTGCGCGCAGCTCCTTGACTGCGGAGAGCATCAGGTGAGCTGCTGCGTGCCACAAAAATTAGCGTCTCCACGTGACGGTGTGTGCCCACCCCAGCTAGGTGAGTGGTTGTTTTCCTCGGTTTAGGTTTCTACCTGTAAGTAATCATCAGGAAGTTGAATATTAAAACAGATAGGTGACCATTTCCCAAAGGGAAAACCCATATGCAAAATCCCCCAGGAGCATCCCCTGCTTTGCAGTGTAGCTAAAGGGAACTTGGAAGATCATCCTCGATCTCAAAGCAGCTCTTCTTTCCCACTTCAAAGAAATATCAGCTATGCAAAAAAGAAACAGTGCGTTCTGAATGTTGTGTGATTAATTTAGTTTTTAGTCCTTTTTTTCCCCCTGTTCTTTTTGGAAGTTAGTCTTGTATGCATGTTTGGCAGTGAAACAAAGTCAAATTTTGAGTTTTTACATTACAGTGATTGGAAAGTTTGTCAAGTGCGTCTGCTTTTAGCAGTGTAGGCTACTTTCTCTATTGGACTAGAAACTTTTGCATAAAATATTTAACTCCATACCACTCTTCTTGAATTTGGACAGAAGTAATTTCATCCACGTAAATGGAATTGTGAGAATCCTGCCAGATTGGTTTGTGCCTTTTAATGTTACTTCCAGCTTGAAGCTTCAAATGATACTCCAAGACACAAACAGAAAATTTAGTTGAACCTTCTCAATTCTGCTCATTTCCAGGAGATTATAAAGTTAGGGAGAGCATTTGAACCTCGGAGCAAAATTTGCATTTAGAATGCCATAGCGTAGTTTGAACGTGTCTTTATCCTCTGGTGTGAAACTGGGTCCTTTGTGGTCTCATCTCATTTTTCCCTCGAGCCGAAGCGCGGGGCAGGTCTGCGGCTAAACACGGGTAGAGCGGCTGAGCAGAGCTGGGAGCAGGTGGGGAGCTGTGGAGGACTCCAGGGCGAGTTTTGCAATTCCACTGCAAAAGTTTAACATACTTATGATCTAAAGCGCTTTTCAAGCCAGTTGTCCTCTATCTCTGTCTGACACGGGCACTGAAAATTTCCTCGTGTTCACTTATGTTCTTCGCTGGAGCCTTTTTCAGAGGCAGTGCCTGAGGAGACGGTTTATCCGTTGACATTAGAAGTTGTCAGATTCATTATTTATGTTGTTATGAACTAGTGTTTTCACTTGAGGAATAACTGTAAAGTGACTTTGTATTATCCAAATGTTGTTACCTCCCAAATTTTTGCAAATCCATGCCAGGTTTTACAGGCAGAATAGGCTCTAACACTAAAACTGGGATCGGTACTGTCATCTGCCTAAGCCACAAAGTTTTGTAACCCTGATTCGTGCCAATAAAAATGTTTTACTGAGCGTGTTTTGGACATTTAATACAAAAGCACAGAAGAAACTAAAGAAGCAGTTTTCATACCTCGTTCTGCCATCTTTGCGTCCGTCGAGTAGAGCTTTAGCCCTGAAGCCCTCGAGCAGATCCGCGGTGGCTCTTGCAGCAGTGTTTCCCTGGGAGAGCTTCAAGGGCCTGAGAGCTGTGAACTGGAGCCTACAGCCTGTATGGTGAAGGAGGTGCTCTTGTAAAGGGCAGGAGAGGGTGCATTTTGATGGTTTAGATGATTCTTGTTTGTTTAGTGTGCATTACTAACATAGAGGCTTTGTTTGTGCATAGGATGGGTCTAGATGACTCCTGCTTTCCAAGATTTTCTGGTACAGAGATTCCCGTTCTTCAGGAAATAATAGCTCGAGTAAAGACCAGTTTAGTCTTTCACCCACATCTGATTCAATTCTGTCTTTGTCAGAAATGTTATTTTACAGGAATCACTAAATATGGAAAATGGGCTCTGTCAAGCACAGCAGAGCTAATTTATGTGCTCATCGGTCAGATTGTCGTTATTGGCTTTCATTCATGAGTGGAATTATTTCTGCAAAAAAATTTTGATTTAAATGCACATGCTAATAGGATTACAGAGTTCCCATTCTGGCTCATCTTCTTTGACTTCTGTGGAAAAATCCTTTTCTCTCAGGCTGTTTTTCTGGGGTGAGAAATGGAGCCATACATAAATCAGAAGAAGATTCACCTCTTTTCACCTAAAGCAAGATTGTGTCCTGCCATAGTCTTCATAGCTATATTCTGTGTTAACTTCTGGTTATGGAAGCATATTTCCTTCCTATCATATATGATCTGTGGTTAGTATGGATCAAAAAGAGAAGCCTGATGTTTTCTTCTGAGTTGCTCTGAGAAGCCTTTCCCTTTCCCTGTTAGAGATCTGAGTTCCTGCAGATGAGTCCGGTGCTGCATGAGCCTGATCAGACAGCCCTCCTCTCCCATGCGTGCTCTGGGGAACAGGGAGGTAAAAATAAAATGCCTTGTATTTATGTTCCAGCAGTAATTCCTACTGACTCAAATGGGAATACAACTGTGCCTCTAAAACGGATCTATGAGATTTTTGTTTTTCCTTTCACCCAAGGTTGCACAGAACTGGAACCTTCCATTTTTCAAGTAAAAGAGCTGTGCTTTTATAGATGTCCGTTCATTTGAGCAACAACGACAAATACTTCATGCCTCCAGCAGTGCAAAAGCTCTGAATGTTAAAGCTCTTCGGTCTGGCTGAGTATCTGTCACAGTCCTATTGCCAGAAGTTTCTTGGAGGTTTGCTTAGGGGTGTTTTGGAAACCATAATTTCTTCTGTCTGAATGAATGGTTTGGCCAGGAAATCAATCTAGCCACACTAGACTGCTGACCCTCCTACACCCATTTCGCTTCACCAAATACCTTTTTTTAGACGTGTGTGTGTCCTGGGACATTGGTGGCAGGACGACTGCTCGCTGCAGCTCTCTGCCGAGCCCTGATGTTCCTGTAGACCTGCTGCAGTGTGAGGGCAGCCACTGCTTTGCTGGTCCTTGCGGGCAGTGGCGGCTGCCTGAATTACCATGCAATGTGCCGCTGCATCTTTTCCAAAGTGCCCTCTGGTTTTTCTTAAGCAAATTGTGTTTCCGAACAGCTCTACCAATGCAGTTTGCAAAGCACATATGTGCTAGTGCTTTGCAAAAAGAGCATGGTAACATGTCCTCCTCTTCCGCTTGATCCACCTGGTGTCTGGATCTCAGGCTAGTATCAAGTGTTATGATTAATGTGTAGCCGTACGTGCCGCGGAAGCAGCGGAGCTCACACAAGCACAGCTTAGGAGGTTGTCTCCAAAGTCTTTCTTGGCAGACTTTTTGTGTTGCATGTTTCTGTCTCTCGTTTCGTGAGTTCTGCTCTTCCTTGAGCTCCAGTCCTGCCTCTGCGGCCATGTCGAGGTGACCTGCTTTATGTGCAAAGGAAATCATTCTCAGCAGGGCTGGCAAATGGCAAGTGTGACTTGCTCACAAATGTGTCCATATTTGCAGTTCCTTTAAAAAAGAAAAAGAAAAAGAGTTACGAATATTGTGTGTGGACTCTTGGTGTGGTTTTTGGATAGTGCATGTTTGGCAATGGTGGGAAGTGGGATGATGACATGGGAGCGCTTTGTATATGTGTAGGGTGCTGGGTAGAGCAAACTCACCCCACCTCGAGAGGCTCTGTGGTGGCTGGGGGGCAGGGAGATTTATGCCAGCCTTTCTCTTCCACCTCCCTGCCTATCCTCCAGCCAGCGGAGACTACGTTACTGTGTAAAGGCAAGATAAGGCCACGTTTCCAATCTTGGGTTGCGTGGGCCAAGCGAAGCCCAGGCACTGTCCCAGATGCCTTACAGTGGTCAGCCAGGGCACGTCAGCGAGCAAGGAGAAAGAAGGAGACTTCATATCTGCCAGGGTTGCGTACAGCATGGCATGACCGAGATTTAGTAACCGCCTGGTAAATAGATTTTTTCGTCACCAAAGGCATGACCTTGAGTGGGAAAATCCAGAGCCTCGTTCAAGTGAGATTGTTGCACGGTGTAACACACCTCCCTCTGGAAACCTTTGGGTTGGCTTTCATCATGGCTTGTGGCTCTGGAGGCCTGATACTTGGTCTGCAGAGGTTTCCTGGCTCTAGGTTAAACTTTGGACAAAATTCCTGCAAGCGGGCAGGGTGGGCTGTGGGCCTGCTCGGGACTTGGGCAGTTTCTGCCCATCTGCTGCCTTCCCTGGGTTGACAGGGGACAATGACTGACCGTTGCTTCCCAGGGACGGCCTCGAGCAAAGAGTGCCGCAGTGTGAGAGGTGCTGTGTGTCCGTCCGTGCTCCAGCCATGGCTGTGCTGCCTGGGGAAAGGAGAGGGAGGCAGCAAGGCTGGGGCCTGGCCCTGCTCGTAAGACCAGGGGCGTTTCCTGGTGGGAAGGGCGGTCCCTGCCCCTTCCATCTTGGACTTTGGAGATCCTGAGTTTGGCCCTGCCTCGAGCCCACCAGGCTGAGGTAGGAATGTGCGTCTCAGTAACAAATCCTTGGAGTGGATGGGGTTGTTCCAGGCTCCATTTAGCCTCCTATCAACTCCCTTCCCTTACTGAAAGTTAAATTGGCAAGGTGCCGTTGACTGGAGGTAGGGGTTTGGACTGTGTTACTTCCAAGCTGTAGTAAAAACCTGTCTGTACATTAATCAACCGAGATGTGGGAAGATCAGCTTGTCCTCAACTTTGAGGTTCTCCTCAATCTCCCCGTGAGCCCAGTCCCCAGCAAAGGCAGTGAGTCCACGATACGGCTGCTTGCCCCAAATCATCCCTGACAGAGGTAGCCTCCACAGGGCGATCGCTTCCAGCATTCTCCTTCCGTGACTGCAGCCCGCTTCCCTGTGCACCAGTAATTCCCAAAGTTAATCCTCCTGCAGCGGCAGTGGGAGCGTGGGCACCTGAGGGCACCCCGCTTGGCGCAGCCCCTTGGCGAGGAGCCCCCCTGCTTCCCCCGCCGCCTGAGGGGCTTTCGGTGCTGCTGCGGGGCGGAGGGGCGAAGGCGCTTGCAAAATCAAAATCACCATCGCGACACCCTGAAAGTTGCTGACGCAAGATGCGCTGATAAACTCCCAGAGCATCACGTGGAGCCTGCAAGAGGAGACTATCTAAAGCCTATTGAGTGGAAGATAAGCTGGACACTGACAAACATGATCTTGTGCTAGTTGATTTAATGCCACTTTGTGTGCATGGAATAACATCGAGAGCTGGCTAAACCCAGGTTTTTTGAGATAAGACTGCTACTTTACCCTTATGGAGGACTGTTGGAAAAACCCCAGCAGCTCCACCTGGGATCCGTCCTCCGCCCAGCCCCTCTCACCTCACTCCTGTCGTCAGAAGACAGATGATTTGGATTTTCTTCCTGTCTGGGAAATGAACTTTGACTTCCTCTAGCTTGTTACAATTATTTCCGTATGTTCTAAAAACCTAACTTTTGACCTCAGGTATGTAATAAATTATTGGTTCAACTTCTGACTGAGCCTGTCTACGGTTATAAAATATTATAACTCTCATGGTCTGCATTTTACAAGCTGGCAGACAAGGCAGGCTGCAATCTCTGCTCGGTGCATAGCCGGCTGTGAGCAGCAGCTCTGCCCAGCGGGGTAGGAGCTCTGCATGCAGGTAGCAAGAACTGGCTTCTAAAACAATTCTCTGGGAGAGCAGCTCTCCCTTAGCACGTGTACTACCCAGTATCTCTAATGATATTTATTGCTGAACTGAGTATATCTGGATGCACCAGGCTATTTTCATGTGTTGTAACTTATGTTTTTGTTTTCTGCTGGGGTGGATAAAAGATTCAGAGATAACCGTCTAAAAATGTTTAATAACATCAACTGACTGCTTTCTGATATACAGTCTGAGATGTATCTTACAGGAGTGTTACAATTTCTAAATTCTGTAAAAAAAAAAAAAAAAATTTCATCTCAAACTGTGTGGGATTAAACATCTTGGTCCCTGACTGCTCCTGGGGAGGGAGTTGACTTGCCATGGTTTCAGAAAGGTGAAAGCTTGTTCCCAAAGGGCAATTGAGAAATCTTCGAGCAACTTGTTTGCTTTGGTTTTGAAGACTTATTGACATTGGCACATCTTCGGTCTGTTGCTTTTGGGGGGAGTAAGGGAGATTGCACCCATTTCTAAGGTGCTAGTCTGAACATGTGTATCGATTAATTGTGGTTGGATACAGTTCAGCAGAATCTCCTGCTTGGATATAATGGAAATCTTTTTTAAGCCTGCCCAGTATCTCCTTCTTGGGAGTTTCCTTGGGTTTGAACAATTTGTCATATTTTGTAATTGTTCATTCCAGTTTCTAAGTTCTTGTGTGAAGTCTTCTGATGAATTGCTTTCAGGGGCAAAGGAGATAATTTTAAGGTGCTTCAAATAACCTTCAGAAGTTAATAAGTAGTCTAACTAACAGTAATATCATTGGGGTCTGGAAACACCTGAGAAACATTGATGGAATCGGAACCTGACAAAGTGTTGGTGGCTGTCAGGTCTCCTGTAGTAATCTGCTTTTTGTGCTTGTTTTCTTCCTGGCAATTCACAATGAAATCCATGGGAAGAATCTGAGAAATTCAGCACTTAGCATGAAATTCAGGCTTTCATCAAAAACTAGATAACTTTGCTGTCTGTGATCTTTCATAAGGACAGATAGTGTGGTAGGAAATGAGAGAAGTGTGTAAGATTGTGAAAAATGCCTGTTGCAGGGCATATTCCTCTCTCTGGTGTGCAATAAAGTTTACACAGTGTCCATAGGTCACAAAACCTTTCATGGAGGCAGCTTGTATTTTCATGCTTAGGACTGCCGAGCGCTTGATGTGCACTAGGAAATAGAGGAGGTGCTGGTATGATCTCTCACCTGCGCTGTTTTCTTCCAGATGCATATTCAGTCTCTTCCAATGACAACGGGGGCAAGTCTGATTCAGTGGCCAACTTACAACCTCAGCCATCCCTCAACTCCATTCAGAGCTCTCCTGGCCCCAAGCGCTCAACCAACACCCTGAAGAAATGGTTGACTAGTCCCGTGCGCCGGCTGAACAGCGGGAAGACCGAAAGCAACATCAAGAAACAAAAGAAGGTGCGAGATGGCAGGAAGAGCTTTGACCTCGGCTCACCAAAGACCGGAGATGAAACCACTCCGCAAGGAGACAGCGCAGATGAGGTGTGTGTTGGTGTTTGTTGCAGGAAAGACCATACCTCTGACAGTCTCTTCTGTGGTGTGTGATTCGTGCTTGAGTAAACGCAGTTCCCTTAGGGTCTAGAGGGAACAGCGAATCGTATGTAAAATCGCATTGATTGAAGCTGTGTTGCAAACAGCATTGTCATCCAAAGAGCAATGGAATATATAGGGAACAGCATTTCAAAGTCTGCATATGTTATTGTCCTTTGACTAGATTTTTCTTAATAACCTGTTAGAAAGCTGCCAAGGATAGAAATGAAGTTATTCTTGAGCAGCTGTTATCACTTTTTGCTGAGGTTCGTATCACCTTTATCCTACCATGGCAGTGTAATTCCTTATTGAAGGAAAACACTTAGAGAAATAGCCCTGTTTCTGTTAAATCTGCTATGTATTTGTAGCTGCAGTTTCTCTGCAGGCATGTTCTTTGCCAGAATGGCTCTTTCCTGATAAAGTGAATAAGGATTGCAAGCCAAAAATGGAGAAGTTACTAACTGAACACAAATAGAGGAACACATTTTAAAAACTGTACATTGAGCTGTTCTCATTTGAATTAAAAAATACTTTTCCATCAGCACACAGGCAGCTGTAACTGTCTTAGCTGCTTGGGTGACCTATAAACTGTATTTCTGTAACTCTTAGAATGCACCAGGATTAACAGGCAAAACCTAATGTCTTTATGGCTTCTCCTCCATGATGCTTAGCATTACCTGCAATTCTCTCCACCCAACGCAATATTGCAATATTGAGCCAGTATTAGTATTAACAGACTCAAAGCCTGGTGGTAGGGCTCAGATATCTAAAAAGATAAAAGAAACCCGTCCCTGCTTCTAATTATATTTAACTTTTCTTCAGAAGAGCAAGAAGGGTTGGGGAGAAGATGAACCAGACGAAGAGTCTCACACACCTCTTCCTCCTCCCATGAAGATTTTTGACAATGATCCAACCCAAGATGAGATGGTAAGGCCTCCCCTACTATATCAGTTTGCTGTTTAAGTGCATTTCTCACGTAGCCATCTCACAGTGGTTTCATAGTAGTCTTCTAGTATCCAGGGCCTAGACTTGTGGTTATAAGAGACTCCTATGTGCAAGTCATAATCTAATGCCTTTCACTAACTGGATTTACAAATAGTTCTGGATAAGCAATTTAGCCCTGGCATCCCATTTCATGACAGGTCAATCGTGTGCTTGTGTTATGTGTGGTCAGAAATTCCACTCAGGCTGATAACGCGTGTTCTCCACGTCTATTAAAAGTGCTGTTGGTGTCTGGCAGTAGCAGCAGAAATGGTATTTGGCGGCAGCCTGGCCCCGAGGAGTGGGACAGATGCTGGAGTCTGCTTGAATCCAGAAATACCACCTTTACCAAGAGTTACATAGCTTGGGCTCTCCACTCTGGCTTTGTGTGTGATTGGGGTCCAGGAACATTGTCAGTCTGTGCCCCACCATCCACCCTCCATTCTGAAGTGCTTTAAAACTTGCAGATGGAAAAGCCTACCCAGTGCCATCTTTTGGCATTTTCGGTATATGTGGCTGATCATCACTGAATGGTCCATCAGCTCCAGTTATTTCAAAAGCCCACAAGGTATCTGAAGTCCCTCTCAGGAGGGTGGGAAAGGCTTTGGTCTGCCATCTTTGTGCACCATGCTGGTGGTGATAGTTCCCTGCTGTTAGATAGGGTCTCTTGAATGTTAAGTCAGAATTTGCTGTCATAGATGGTGCAGTGGCTTGCAGAGTCCTTCAGTAGCTCTCTTGGACCTGGGGTGAGAATCTGTGAATATGGCTATGACAGTGGTTTGTATTCACAGTCAGTGCAGGTCCTGTGTGCACGTGTCCTCCCCCACCCTTTCCTGGTGCTGTCGTCTCCCTTGTAGAAATCCATCCTCCTGTTTAGCTGTTTCCTGCTGGCATCTGTTTTTAGCACTGCCACTTCTGTATCTCTATCCTCTGATTGTAATTACTGCACACGAAGAAGCAAGGATAGGGGAGATTAATAAATTGTCAGAAAAAACCAACCCAGAATGTTCTTGGGGAAGGTTCAGGCAGGAGTTTGGAAATACAGAGAAAGAAGGTTGCAAATATTTCTGTGACTCAAGGAGCAGAATGATGGAGGAAAGGATTTGGGGACTTGCTGCTAATCTGTCAGGAAATGTTATGACATTGTGGTGGCAGCAAGACCAGAAGGAAGCAGCTGGAGTCGTGGACTTTTGCCCTTTGAGTGCTGTGTGTGCTGCTGGCTGTCTGGCAAGGGGCAGAGGCGAAAGGTCAGCGAAGCAGAGCCATGGTGGATCCATGCCCAGCACAACAGCAGTTGCTCCTGGCTTTTTTGCTGTGGTGTTTAGCTAAATGTTTTGGGGTTAGTTTGCTTTTTGGTTTTTGGGGGGTCTGTTTTGGGTTTTTTTTAAAGAAAAACAAAACTGCTTTAGTCGGGTCACTATTTTTGATTTTTAATGTGCCATTTCAGTATTTCTTAAATACATTTCTGACAGCGCCAATGTTGTGGAACTAAACTGTTTTCCGCTCCAGAAGTCTAAGCTTTATAGAGCGTTTTGTCATCCTGTTTCTTCACCCGCTCCTAAAAGAGAAGATTAAATAGAGCAAGATGCATCTGAAACCCTTTTTCTCTCTCTTTCTTTCCCTGCTCACTTTTTGTCATGGGGAAAAAAACTTAAGCTCACAAACACGGCTCCTGAATTCCCTGGCACAGGAGCACCACGTTAGCAATGTTTGAGTCACGCTGGAGCCAAAAGCTCTTTAACAGTGTTAATTTGGGCAGAGCTCCCTGCTCATGTCCTGCTGCTGCTTACAGGCACGGGCTTAGGTTGGACCAGCAGCAGCATGGGGAAGTAGCAGTGGTAGGTGGGAGATGTCTGCGTGGTGTGGGGGGGTGGCACCTTCCCTGAGCCCATCTGCAAGGCAGCAATAATCATGCCTCGCTGCTCCTGGAGGCTTTTATAAAGACAAATTGCAAAATATCGTCATATTAGAAATTCATAATTTACTTCCTGGGAAATAGAAATACCATTTTTCGATTTGCCCCACACAAACCAGCCTCTCTTGTCAGTCACAGGAGAGTTTTATTTTACACTGAAAGACTTGTAGGCAGCAAATGTTTCCATGCTCCCTTCAAAGTCCTCCAGTTATTTACTTTTCAGAGATATTGAGCAATTTCAGTTAAAAGAAGTGAGAGCAACAGCTGTTCAGTGCCTCCAAAAATTGGACGACTTCTGCTAGAATGGTTTTGTTTGATGGTTATCGTCTATGTATTTGTCCAGTACCTCTTCAAAGTCCCTATATTCAGTCATTTTTTTTTACCTAGACACGTCTGTCCGCATTGCAGGTGAAGCAGGCTGTCTGAGCTTTTACATTTCTATGAGATTCCTGCATTACCAGCCTAATTCCTCAATTACCAGCCTGATTACCTGTAGTTTTTGTTGTTGTTTTAATTAGAACTGTTGATTAGATGTGTTATTTGTGAAAGACAGACGCGGAATGGCAGGCTGTTCACGCTTCTGCTCTGTCACAAGGCTTCTGGATGGGATTGGTCTCCCTTGCCTTTTTTTTCTCCTCCTGGGGCTGTGTCACTCAACATGAGCAACCTCCCCAAAGGGCCGCGTAAAGAGGTGGCCAGCTGCCTAATTCCTGCCATCACATTTCCATATCTCACTCCTCAGCACTATTTAATCTCAGATGTGTGTTGTTTGGCACCTGCATGTTGACTTTGCTGAAATAGATGCTCTCCAGAAGACCTTTATTAAGCAGCTGAGAGATGAATAAGCTTTTTAATAATTTTAATGCCAAATTTGTAAAAATTTAGCCATACTTTAGTCCGTGTCAGCCTGCCAAAAGCAGGTTATCAAAGGGCTTATAGTTTTAGTCAGTGCTTGTATTTCATTCAGAAGAAATGTACATACAGGTGAGCTAATACCAACTCCCATAGCTATTGCATGAGTTTGGGTTTTCGAAGTGAGGTTTCTTAGGACAAAGACCAAGGGGTGAAGAGCAAAAAACTTAAACTAAAACTGCGTATTTCACACAGAGGCCAGTCTTTGCAGCGCCATGGGAGATGCTTGGGTAGGACATTGATGAGGTCTCAGTGTTTCTGGAGATTTGTAAGAACCAGCTGTTAGCTGTGGCTGCCTGAATGTAGAGACATCCAAAGACATTACGTGATGTCAGGCATCTAAAATTGAATACCTGCGACCAACAGACAGGCATAGAGAAGCGAGACTGAAAATATTCTAGCTAATGTCAATAGGGAAAAGTGGGCATCTCCAAAGAGTGTTTCTGCCCTCTTGTGCCAGGTACCTAGGATAGATGCGATATGTAGGGGTGTTTTCTGTCCAGATTGCAGAAAGGAGAGAGAAAAGATACACATTTTAGATGGCTGAAGTTGCATGAATGGGAGGTGTCATCTGAGTTCATTTGGAGTTGCAATTGATCTGTGGGAAAGGAAGGGGGAATGATTTGTTCCCCCCTGCCTCCCTCCCCTATTGCCTGTAACTCCATGTGTACCTTGTACTTAACTGCATTTATTAAATATGTATGTATGGGGGAGGGCATAATTTCTTACATCTGCAGTAAGAAGATCAATTTTCTGGAGCCTGTAAGACCGTAGATGTCCTTTGAAGGAGGAACCAACAGACATTAAGAGTATTGTAGCCTGGTTGCAAATGAACTTCAGTTCTTTGATACTGTTCCCTGGTTCCCAACCTTGGAATTGCTGCAGGGGGATGTGCAGCCAGAAGTGGATGGCAACTCTGTGCTTGTCCAATATGGCGACACTCACTCACCTGACCATGCATGTGGTCCTCTAACCCTCCTGCTCCCCTTCCACATTCATTCTCCTGTTTCAGAAGCTGCTTCACTGACCGCTGGTTTCCTACTCCCTTCTCATCCTGCTAACTTGCTTTTCCTTTGCAACCTGGTGTCTTGCAGTCCTCTTCTTTGCTAGCTGCTCGACAGAGCTCCTCCGATGTCCCAACTGCTGCGGACCTTGTCAGTGCAATAGAAAAGTTGGTCAAAAGTAAGCTGGTAAGTTTAGTGTTGTGAAAACTGTACACAACAGGCCTAATATGACTCTAGGGAAGGGCTTTAAAGTCTACCTCTTGTTTCTGGTTTCCTTGCTTTCCACCTTCATCTGTTATGCTTTTATTAACCCTATGTGCCCTGCTTCTCAGTAGAGTATCTAATATTTTTGCTCCCCACGTGAGATGAAGCCTACATCTCACATTGCCATGTAGGTTCTGCACTGCATAGTTGAAAGGTGCTTTTGGAGCGGGCTTTGCAGCGTATGAGCTACTGTACTGTACTCTTTCTGGGGTCTTGCTATTCTTTCAAATATTTTACACAGTGGGATGTTTTGTTTTGTTTTAAAGCTTGTTCTGAGGCACAGGAGTTTTACCACCCAACATGTGAATTTGTTTAGTATTCTGGCTTCCCTGAAAAGACCCTCTAAAGAGTAGAACTGCTTGAAGTATCACAGCTGTGCTTTAATTTTACAAAGATTCATGTGTCGCTTTTAATCTGCCTTGTCAACTCTATCTGACAGGGAGTGGAATAAGCAATAAAAATGCTCTGGGTTTAATTTGTTCAAAAATTTCAGTATCGTGCACTCTCCCTGTCTGGTCCCATGTCTGCTGGACAAGCCTCCTGTTTCATATCTTGGCTTCTATTAAGTTTTCCCTGAAACAGTTCAGAATGTTAATGTAAGCTAAACCTTTTTCTACATGTCCCAGGACCTCTAAACTTAGGTAAATGCTTGCTTTGAGCAAGTTTAACTTAATTAACAACTCGGGATTAAAGCAGGGTTATGATGAGCCTACAAAGGTTCATTTCCTTATGTATACTGGAAGGATGAAGAGAGTAAAGACAAAACAAAAAAACCCACAGTGATCATTACATTCCTGTAACTCTGTGCAAGCAGCTTTATCTAGGCAATCATTTCAGAGGGTTTTGGTATTTTCTCAGTTTGAGATGTTGGTACATGAAGATAGTCTGCATTCATAGGGTGCTTGATAAGGAGTAAGTGGTGAAGGAGCTCTTTGTGACATGGGAAACCGAGAAGGACATTCCCAGCAAATTTACTCAAAATAGTTTTATTCCATGGAGGGACTAACAAATTGAAAAGTATTTCATTAATCCAGTTAGATGTATTTTCAGAGGATATTTTATATTCTCTCCCCCGTATGCAGGCTGTTAGGTCAATTGCAATAACTTTCTAGGGATTTGGGGGAAACTTTAATTATTGTGGAATGTTACTATGTATCCATCTATTTCTGTTTCATTGTGTATTTTACTTCACTACGAAGAATCCCCATTCAGTCTTTGGCAGAGAAACACCGACCACGTGTAGCCTAACACTGGTTCTGATTGAGACACCAGGATATTTTCAGGTTGTTTTGAAATAATTTGGAAGAGTTTTCTCATCCTGGGGCTACTGGAACATCTTTTTCCACCTTCTGGCAAAAGGACATCTTTTCTCTTTCAATGCTTTTTTTGAGGGGGTCTTATATAAACTTAAAGCTAGTTTGGTTGTGTTTCACTAAGTCCTGCAGGAAAGTATTGCGGAGTACTCTGCTTGGTTTTAGACTGCAGTGTTGATTGCAGAACTGACTGGAAACAGAAGATAACGCTGATGCTGGAGTTCAAGGATAATGTTTATTCTATCATTCTTTGGGGTTTTTTTAGACCCTTGAAGGAGGATCTTACCGAGGAAGCTTAAAAGATGCCACTGGCTGCTTAAATGAAGGAATGACGCCTTCAACTCCCCCACGAAACCTTGAAGAGGAACAAAAAGCCAAAGCAATGAGAGGCAGGATGTAAGTTGTCTTGCTGGTTCTTCTTTCTGAAATATGTCCCAATGAGGACACATAGCTGCACTGAAAGAATACTTTGTAGTCAGTGAATGAGCAGGGAACTGGGAGTAAAACTGTGTTCTGCTTGCTTCTGTTTTATCCTAACCTGTAAAAATACTTCATAAAAGCACCTGCACACCCAGGAAGTTCATCATCACTCTTTAAAATGTGCAGCTTTTACCCCTAATAGCAAATATCTGTTGCTGTAAAAGCCTCTGAACAGTAATACTAGGCAAGTATTACTGAGATGTTTGCCTTGGTAATTACTGCATTGCCAGAGGTGAAATCAGCTCTCAAAGGGGGATATGTGGTTGGCCTTGTTAGCTACCTTCAAGGAACGAACAGAGAATCCCACTAGGATTTTTTGAATGAGATAATAATTTTTTGCCTTAGCCATTATCAAAGGAAGGGGCAGAATTCAGATGCATTTGTGGTGGAAACACACCACTGAAGAGAAAGTTTCATTTAGGAAACCCTCATGTTCATGGTAATGGGAGAGGAAAGAAATGGTGACAGCTCATAAAAGTTGTTTTTTAAAATTATCTGTAAGTCCCATAAATGTAACAGAAATAACACTTCAAAGCTTATCATGGTTAAAGCATTTCTTAAATACGTGGTTAGGCTGAAGGACACAGAGAATTGGGGAAACAGAATCAAGAATTATATGAAAGAGAGCTCAGGTAGCTCTTTTCTTTATACTGCCTCTTACACGAACAACAGTAACTGCAATCATCTAATCAAATCATACATTGATGGGAAAAGTAACAGTCCATACAGGTCTCATTGGAGTGTGGTAAGGTGAGAGGTGGAAGAAGAGCAGCCCATTTGGGAAAGATGCCAAGCAGGGAAGGAAACCAAGTCAGGGGAGGACAAAGAGGTAGTTAAGTGTAGACAAGGAAGCAGGAGCAAAGTGCCACAGGTCTGTGAAAGCCATCATTTGCTCCTGCAGTTTGTTGTGGGAAGCCAGAGAAGCAATACAGTGAGGGACTGGATCGACTCTCAGCAGCAGGCAGGGACATGACACTCCTGGATGTGTTTCTGAATGCGAGTTTTCTACTAGACAACTGTCAGCCTTCCTGCAGGGAACATCTCTGCCCATTCCTGTCTCCTAAAAGCTCCTCAATATTGCAAGTTCTTGGGTTTCTCTGGTTGCAATTCATTAATTAGATAACTGGCAACTAACTGCAGGTTGCAGTTTTACTGCAGAGACCTTTGCCACTGTAAGCATAGATACAGTAACGCTTTCTAGCGTGCAATGCTTCTGGCAGGGGGACTGGCAGCGTGTTACGCGTAATTAGTGGCTGCCTCCGTCCAGATTTCCTAAACGCCAGGATGTTTAGGAGCACCTGCTTGTGGCTTTCAGCACAAGACATCTGTCTCCTCTCCAGCTCCTTTGTGTCTGTGTTCTGTATCTCTACAGCTCGCTGTGTTTAATTCCATAACCATATGAGGCAGCTGAGCTCCAAACTTGAGCTGTGATCCCCCCATTCCCCACAAACCAGCAGCTGAATCCTTGCATAGGCATGGGCAGTAATTTCCTGTATCTCTGGCAGCATGTGCATGCCAGCAGTTAGCCTTAGTGTTAGGAAAGCCCTATTCCATCAGACTTGATTGCTGCATTTCTATGAGCAATAAGGCAATAGTCTCATCGAGTAGCTTTGTTCAGTATAGATTTAATACAGAGTTAGCAAGATATCCAGATATTCAGACTTATTCAGGAGTGAGGAGGCTCTATCCTTGTTCCAGTTCATGCCATTTTAAATACAGCTGTGTAGTCAGTACCTGCTGGTGACCAGGGCAGGCACTTTCCAAGCAACTCTCTGCCCTTGCTCCATGTTATCGGATGAGGAGATGAGTGAACTTGAATTTTTGGCAGCATGCATCTTAGAAACCTTAAATTTGGGAGTACCTCTAAGGTCCTGTGTCAGGTAGGCTTCAAAGAACTAATAGTCGAGATTGATTTTTCTGCTTGTTAGGAAGAGGGGAGCTGGAGGAACGCTGGTGCTGAGTTTAAGGTAAGCAGTGGAGATACAGACCCTGGTTCCTAAAAGAGATGTAAATTTGCAGCTTTAGTCTGTTGACCTGATAGCCATCTGGTCGCTGCACTGATTTTTAATTCAAACTTACCTGCCTGCATGTGCAGCAACATTAAGTACTACAAGTACCTGCTGCTTCATTTTAGATCAGGATTTGGCCAGATGTATCCTTGCAGTAACTCAAACCAAAGGAGTCTGGGTGTGGGAGAGGCAGTGGGCAGAAGGGAGAGGTTCTCCACATCTTTTCAGCAGCTCTCTCTGTTCACGGGGAGCAATGCAGACGGAGGTGGTGCGAGCCGAAAAGTAACCTCCCAGCATGCCTCCCCACATGGAGACGTGGCAAGACTTTTGCAAGGGTACGGTAGGTCAGCCAGCGAGAGGGGACTGTACAGCATACACTTGTTCAGGCCACACGCTGCTGCTTTGTAAAAGAGCAGCATTTTGCCCCGCGCATGTTTACTACCCAGGCACACAACTTGGCAGGGCGCTTCGGAGAGCACAAGCATCTGGCATCACTGCTGCCAGCCCTGCCTTCTGCCAAGAGGGCTGGATTTCACTCTCAAACGAACAAGAAGCTGTGTGACCTCTTCCTGCCACGTGTCTTAAGTATCTCCTCCGCTCTGTCTAAGCAAGGGACATGTTGGGAGCGCAGCGGGAGCAGTATTTATTTTCTCAGTAACCTCTCATAACTGAGTCTCTCCTTGCAACGTCAGTCTACGTTTTTTTTCCTCTAGATATTTTCAACCAGGCTTTTATCTTAGCACTGTTTGCCCTCAGCTCTATCATTTCAAGTGGGTCAGTCTGCTGATTGATGTGGACGGAGTGATACTAGACATGAAAGCACTCCTCTATCTTGTTAGCCTTGTTACTGCTGTAGCGAACTTGAGCACAGATGGAGTTTATTTGTCATGTGCCAAATCTATGTATTGGCGTAATTGAGAGGCAAACTGTCTGCAGCAAACTGTAACTTTTTGAAATTGTCCTCGAAAGAACATTATGTGATTAGTCAGTTTGACTTCCAAAGGAGGGGCTTTTTTTAGCTTGCTGTTGTTTGCATGCATCAGGCCTTCATTAGATGACTCTCCTACCCAGGATTATTAGCTCAGAAATCAGTGCAAACCATTTGACACCCACACATAGATTACCTAGTCTGAAAGATTAAGCTCTTGATTATGATGGGAGGGGGGGATTTGTTTTCCAAGTGTTTGAAACTTCCAAATTAAAACTTAATTGATGAATCTTGGGCAAAGCCAGAGAGACTGGGGCAAGAAATCCTCTCCTGCTTGCTGCAAAATGGGTCACGACATGTCTCCATTGCTATCAGGAGGGCTGCATGGGGGGTGGAGGAGAGGAGAGCAGGGAGGGGTAGTTCAAAGTACAGGCAGCTGATTGTGCTGCTGCTTTTGCACTATCCTGGGATATGGGGGGGATAGAGTGGTTAAAAGAATTGGAACTAACCTGACCTGAAATGTGACGTTTTTGTCATTTACATTCTACTGAGCTGTAAGTGAGTGAAGAGTGAGTTGTGTTACGTGACCTGGAATGACGGTGGGGTAATATGTGGTAAGAGGAACAAACAGTAACATCAAGAAATATGGTCAAATATGTGTGTGTTCTGTTTTAATTTAGGTTTGTCTTAAATGAGCTGGTACAGACTGAAAAAGACTACGTCAAAGACTTGGGAACTGTTGTGGAGGTGAGCTGAAGCAAACCCTGCTATGCAAAATGTTTTCCCACTAAAAAGCACCATGCTGAAAAGTGACAACAACAAAAAATACAGCATGAGAAACAAACTGCTTTATTTTGCACTCTGCTTCCATGGTCCCCTTCTTATGTTGACAGAAACAAGAAGAAATGCCTTTGGAAACTATTTTTGTTTCCATCTAACAAATGTTGTATTTTAGGTTTCAACTCCAGTGTGCAAAGGTTTTTCTTGGCTGCTCTGCTTGTGACAAACTCTTTCTGCTCTAATGCAGCCTTGAGGGCAGTGGTGGAGAATAACTTATGCTCCTACCACCTATTTTGTGCGTTTCTTGCTGTCATATTGAGTAATGGTAACACATACCTCAGTTTGCCCCTGGACTAAAGTCCTGTGTCTGAGTACCTTTCCAGAAGCTGGGTTTGGATCTGTGCTGAGGTGCGTTTGTGGCCCATCGATTACTGTTTTGCAAAAAGACTTGAGATAAAATGGAGGGCTTTTTTTTTTATTTGCCCCTTTTTTTCAAAAACAGTTATATTTTTTTAAGCTTCAACTTGTAAAGACAGGGATTCCTAGGGATCACCTGTCAGATCCAACTCACATGCAGGGTCTGGTTTTTTTCCCAGCAAGGACTCAGAACTGGAGTTCTGACTGAAGTGGGCTTTCAGCAATGCTTTTGGCATTCGCTAGTCCAAGGAGAATTATCCACCCATCTAAAGTGATTTTCAACAGTTTCCAAACTTGAAGACCTTTGTGTTATCTTCTGTTTACATCATGCATCACTGGCAAACCTGACAGGGCTGCAGTGCCACAAAGGCTTATAAAGAAGCTCTCAGCAGGTGTGAGAAATCCTATTCATGTGACACTTCAAACTTACTCCTTGACTTTGTGCTCCAACAAAACACTTGTGGTGGTGAATGGAAGAACTTTATACAGAGTCTGGCTTCTTTCTCTTACCGGAGAAGCCAAGAGCTTGATAAACTACTTTTGTTTAACTTCTATCTTCTAATTGCACTTGTCACTTCAATGACACCTAATAACGGTTTGTTTAAGCATTGTAGATATTCAGAATAAATCCTTTAAAGTTTTCTTTCAAGCAAACTTTGTAATTTAAAGTATCTAGATGGGTTTCTGGTTTTAAATTGTACAAAAGCATTTTCAATGTAAAAAATCCTGACATTAACTTTTGCTTCTTTGAAAAAAAGAGTGTGTAATTATGCTCCCCCTTCAAATGAACACTTTGCTAATCACTAATCATTTATCCTAAAGGGCTTCATGAAGAGGATAGATGAAAAAGGTGTTTCTGAAGATATGAAAGGGAAAGACAAGATTGTATTTGGCAATATTCACCAGATCTATGACTGGCATAAAGAGTAAGTTCTTGGTTTTGTTCCTTTTTAAGCACCTTTCTAACCGCTCGTCCATAAAGGATCGGGGTATATGGTGTCTGTATGTCTAAGTTGCTTTTAATTGAACATCAGCAGGTCATTCAGGGCTGAACTTCCAAAGGACGTTGCCTCACTTTAAATGGTCTCTGTTGGTTTGTAAGTGCTGCTTAATAACTTCACAAATCATGGCTACCTTGAATCCTGGGAACATGTTCTAATTCATGTGCTTTTAGCCACAGTTTCACAATACACTAGTTCCTGATATAGGGCTTTGTCTACCCAGCCAAAAATGGCACAACTGCATGATGCAAAGCATCGGTCTTACATAAAATAATTTTTCCCAGTGAAAAAAAACTTTGGTGGGCTATAGCTTTGCACTGCCTGACTTCATGTTTGTCGTGCTGTCTCGGATCACAGATACAGCTTTATACTGGCTCATACACCATGCCAGGAGTGCTGGTCAGTGTGACAGAAACGTTGCACACAAGAGAGTCTGCTCTGTTTCAGTGCTGTGCTGCCAATAGCTCTGCCACTCCTTGCTGGGGAGCCACAACAAGAGACTCAATGGGAGATACCACTGTGGTCCATCCACAGTTCCTGAGCTATTGCACATAAGCAGTCCCAACATGGCTCCCAGAGAGTTGCTGCTTGTGGGGTACTTGCTGGTTCCTCAGAAAAGCTACTGAGGCTGCCATAATTGTGTTTCTTGGGTCACAGCTGCAAGCTTAATTCATCCCACTGATGAGCAGTAGCAATGCTGGAAAGTCATGGTTTCCTTCCCATGTCTTGTGGTTCTCAGCAACATGAACATCTTCACATGTAGCTGATAGGATCACGAGGCTGACCATACCAGCAGTATTTGGCTAGTAGGGTGATAAAATGCAAATACCTTCAAGATCCTTCTCACGTGAAAGCTCTGACATGCTTTGGCCTAGTCGATGCTTTTGACTCTGAGTTAGGAACTCTGTTCCTTGAAAATCTTACTCATACAAGTAGTTTTTGAAAAGCTGCTCGATACACGAGGCTTATTTCAAACCCTGGGCCATTTCCGCTGTAACTTTATGAACAGCAATGTCTTGCTTATGGACAATATGGTCATCATTTCAATTCTGCCACTCAGAAATACTCTACAGCTCCAGCTAACTAGAATTTGAGCATGCATATGCAGACTTGAGCAATGGACACCAGGCTGGATCTTCCTTCAGCTCTGGACATTTCCCTCACCCAGGAAACAAGGTATCCTTCCCATCATGTATCCCACAGGTTCTTATGTCATGGCCTGGGCCTGTCCCTGTGTTCTGACAGATGCCCTTGTGAGCACAACACAAAAAATGTCAGAAAAATCTTCACCATATATTAAGTTGATACCAGCCACAGAGCGTTTTTACCAGTGCCATTCATTGTTTAAGTGTGATGATAGGAGTTTTCTGTAACACATAGTTCCGCATATCTGGGTGAAGAAGTCTATTTAAATGCAGATGAATTTAATATTTATAGAGGATTGAGTTATGGAAGCAGCTGTATCTGATGGTAGCGATAGTTGGGACAGTTGGGACAGCTGTCCAATGTGCATCTTTTTTTGAGGTTCTGGGATTTCTTGGGTCCAGACCATTGCAGGCATGTCCTCTCACCAAATCTGGTTACTGTAGCAAATCTATGGAGGCATTTGAGAGAGAAATCCTGCAGTGAAAAAGAGGAAGATCATGGAAAGGGCGATTGTCAGGATTTGCCTACCAGTTAGAAAAACGTACCAGCATTTCTGAAGTTTAGTTTAGCTGCTTTTACCTCACTTTTAGGCATCCCAGTATGTTCTTGCTAAGGGCATTCCAGCTAGAATGAATGACCTCCCCAAAGCTGCAGGTCAAGATAGAGATGGTGTTTATGAATTACTATTGCTATTATGAATTACAGTATATTACTAACAGTAATATACTGAAGAACAGTGAAAAACAGAACGTACCAAAACTCCACCAGCAAAAATTGATTTGTTGATTTGTTTATTCACGTGGAAACTTCTGCATCTCTTTCACATTGACCAGTACTCCAAATCTGCTCATGCAACTGAGAACTCCTGGTAAAGCTGCAGTTGAGTTTTCACAAGCATTTTGGTATATGGAAAAGTTCTTTGGAAGTTCTCAGTGAAGGAAAGCAACCCTTGCAATTAGTAATTGGCACTTTTTAAAAATTGAAACCACTGTAATAGTAAAGAAGAACAGATAATTTGCAAGGCAAGACCTCCATATTTCACAGGTCTCATCTAATGTTTTAGAAATCCCACCATTAAGGGCTGAAGCCAAGCTTACCTTTTCATTTATTATTGAATACTATAGCTAAAATTGCACCAATATATCTGAAGGACGACTAGTTTGCTGCTGCTGGGATGACCTAAAGAAGTATTCTGAAACGTTGATATCCTTTCTTTCAGCTTTTTCCTGGCTGAACTGGAAAAATGTCTTCAAGAACCTGACCGTTTAGCACAGCTTTTTATTAAGCATGTAAGTTTTATTTTGTTACCTATCTCTAGTATAACTGTCATTTAGGGTATGATGACTCCTTTACGAAAACATCTGTTTGTGTCGACTTGATACTTTTACATGTCTAAACTTAATTATGCATCTTCAGTGAGCAGCTGGATTGAACTAAAGCAGAATCATTGCCTTCTTGCAGACTTCTTATTTTGGGGCCAAAATTGATGTGGCCAAGGACATCTGCCAAAATATAATTATGGCAGGTACTTGCCAACTGCTACGATTGACATGTTCGTGTGATATTAGCCAGAGCACAACTCTATAGCAAATTTCAGACCTACCAGTGTGGAGACGACATCTCTACCTGGCTATCCCCATGCAAACCTCCCCTTGCTAAGGTGCAGAAGTGGAGAACAGAACCAGTTGTCAATTTGCTTTCCTACTTCAGCAAACTAAATCTTTGATTAAACAAAAAATAAGGAAGACCAAGCAGAACATCTTAGCAACTTTCTGCCAGCTTTTAATAGCAAAACAGAATGGTAGCCAACAGCTCACCAGGCTGCTGTGCCTCTTGCTTTCACAGGAACGGCGATTACACATGTATGTGGTATATTGCCAAAACAAGCCACGATCTGAATATATAGTAGCTGAGTATGAGGCATACTTTGAGGTAAGCATTGCTTATTATACATTACTGCTACTTACAGCTGTGAGTCCTAGTCAAGTAGACTATTTTGTGACCTGTGGGGTTTATCTGAAACAAACTCTAGAAGATTTTGATGCTGCACATGCTGCTAAAGTCTCTGCTGTGGGGAAAAAAAAAGTTATTATTTCATTTATTTCAAATTCTCATGTTGTTGATTTTTAGTAAATATTTAATCCAGTACTAACTGTCTGTGGCCCTCAGAGTGCCCCAACTGCATTTCTGTCCAAAATAAAATAAGACTTTTTAATCTAGTAGTAATCTTGTAGTCTACAAACAGGGGAGGAGGTAGAAGTTGTTGGAGCTGGGTGGTGCCTCTCATAAATTCCCAATAAGTTTGTCTGTTCCAGGAAATGTTTGGGACTAGACACATTTAGATATTAATGTGAAAGAAGCTTGTTTAACAAGGGAAAGATGTTTCATTTCACCCAAGAGCATGAGACATGCTCTGCAGGACTTGTTTGTGAGCTAATCCCCGCTGCAGTGGAATGAGTGGTCTCCAGACCTTGCAGCCCTGCTCAGTCAGCTCAAAGCGGGAAGGGATCCTGTGCTTTCCAACGCCTTCCAGCTCGGTCATGACTTTTACCCAGTCCTTGCCTAAATACGATATGCCAGATTTTTAAATCCTCTAAAATTCCCTCTTGCAAACAAAAGATTAAGAACAGACCAACTTTCTGTGGACATTAGTCTCTGCTGAGACATTTTATCATGTTCTCTGTCTTACTCTGTGATTGTTTTTAATCCTTAATTTTTAGGAGGTTCAACAGGAAGTAAGCCAACGGCTAACCATCAGTGACTTTCTGATCAAACCCATTCAAAGAATAACTAAATATCAGCTTCTTCTCAAGGTAAGTGGAAAGATACAGTTTGGACTAAACTATCATCTGCATCTTGCATTAGATGCTGTGATTTTAAATCAGCCTTAGTTTTAACTGAGGAATAACTTCATCAGATTAAGAGGAAAGAGGAGTTTGCTTAAACATGGGCATACAATGACAGAGTCCCATGGAAAATGTCCAGAGAGCAGGAGGGCCACGTCTGTGGGAGTAGTTTGCAATTTAGGATAATAAAAAGATTTTTTTATTATTTTCTATTGGATTTTTTTTTTTATAGAAGAGTAAACTTCAAATAGGAATTTTCTTCCTCTGAAGTTTCAGAGCAAACTTTCATTCAATTTTTTTAAATTGCAGTAAAGACGCGCAAGTGTGTTAATAAAGCCTGTCTTTGGTGCTGAATGGCATGCTTCTAATAAATGCTATAGCTTCCATTTCTGAATATCTCTCTTCAAATTAGCATAAGAAACTTATTTCCAGAATATTCTGATGTCTTAAAATTTGGGGAGCCCACTGCAATTTTTTTCCTAAGGAGTCTGACCACTCTGGCTTCTGCTGACTTTATCCACAATGCCAATTACTCAGCATTTCTGAAAATTCATCCCTAGAGGTCTCAAGCTAATATCTAAAATTAGGCGTGTCTGAACCCTACCCTGTAATCTCCAACAGTACCAGGGCTCTGAGCTGGTTTCCTCTCTTTTTTGAACTAGTCTCAAGCAGGCTGCCATCAGCCCACAGTTTGCACTCTAGCAAAGAGACAGCAGCATGTTCCCTGAAATGCCAAAAGGAAAAGAAAAATCTTCAAGTGTGTGTGGTCTTGTGGCTTAAGACAGGGACCAAGTAAGCATTCCCAAGGGCTAATCCCAGCTTTGTCTTTTTTCTGTGATGTTTTCAGTAACCATCCACACCCCTTTTCCATATCTATACAGTGGTTATAACGTTCAGCAATCTCTGAAGATGAATTTATTAATATTAGCAAGTTCCTTCTCGGAAAATCACATGCTGAATATGCTTTTTCTTTTTCAAACTGGCATCTTTTGTTTTCTCTTTCTGAAGTGCCTTAATGCAAACCTTTCTGCTTTCCCTAGGACTTCCTGAGGTACAGTGAAAAAGCTGGTCTGGAGTGCTCTGATATAGAGGTACGTTTTCACGTCCTGGACAATGGTGCTATCTTATCTAATGACATTTTATATGGAGGAATAAAAACCCCAGTATTCCTTTGACAGTAGTTGAAGATCCCGCTGGTATTCTAAATGTGGTATTTCTCTTAGCTTAAATCAGAAGTAAAAGATGAAGGCGCAGTCCTGCATTGTAGGTGCACCATCCTCTTTTAGACATTACCGTACATCTTCAGTGCATGAAGGCCTCACCGTGAATAACTGCCAGCAGTGATCACGCTATTGAAGTTTATTATTTGACAGTTTGCTTTCAGGAACCCTCTGATTCTCTTGTAGCAAAACAACATCCTTTTTCCTTAACAGAAAGCAGTTGAATTAATGTGCCTTGTACCGAAACGTTGCAACGATATGATGAACCTGGGTCGCCTCCAAGGCTTTGAGGTATGCATTTGCATTCTGCTTACAATAACAACCAGGCAAGGAAAAGTATTTTATCCTTCTATGATTGTTTATACAATCTGCCCTACTCCAGGCTGCTTATCTAGTGCTTGTTCTTCTCCAGTGCTGAGCTGCATGCTTTGGTGAGGTTTCAAAGGTGGGGTTGATATATCTGTCACTCTAACCTTGTGACAATCTATCTATTGTCTCTTCAAAATGTGAGGTCTGTAAAAGCTTCTGCAAGCTTGAATTAGACTTCTTATATCAATTGCCAGAGCAAAATAAGCGGTGAACCAGACTGCTTTGCCTATTAGTAAGGTCACCTAGCATTAACGTGTTAACAGCTCCCTCTGAGTCTGGCAACATCCAGGAGGGGACTTGTGAGTTATAACCCCACAGGTTACAGCTTGTGGTTTGTAACTAAGCCAATGTAGACTTTGGCAGTCCTGGTGAGATGTCTTATCTCCAAAATGAAGTCAAGTTTCTCTTACTGTTTTTTCATTCCTGCAAACAGGTAGGTCCTGTTTTTTTGCACCTTCAGAGGTGTTGTGTCATTGACTACTGGCTTAGGGGGTGATGGAGAGCTCATGACTAAAGGGAATCCAAGGCACTACAGTAACAAACTACATAATGGGAACAGTGTTTGAAATGAAGTATACCAAACAGTCTACTTGAGACCTCTTGCTTTTGGTTTTATATGCACAATCAGTGGCAATAAAAACAAAGAAAACCTATGTTACTTTCCTTAAAGTGAGCTCTTGATTTACAAGATTGCTGCTTTGATAACTTAGAGGGGATATGTCTCACATGAATGCAGTGCTGCTTGGAAAACTTGGGACTGCATGAAACATAGCAGATCGTCTTGTGGGATCATGTTGGGTGGGGGTTTGTAATGTTGGTGCTTTGTCTGCTTCTCAGGGCAAGCTGACAGCTCAAGGCAAGCTACTGCAGCAGGACACCTTCTACGTGACAGAGCAGGATTCTGGAGTTCAGTCTCGACCGAAGGAGCGAAGGGTGTTTCTCTTTGAACAAATAGTTATCTTCAGTGAACTCCTTAGAAAAGGATCTTTAACACCAGGATACATGTTCAAGAAAAGCATAAAGGTAAGAAATAGAGAGGGAGGGGCATATTCTGTTTGATGGCCACGTAAGGAAATCTTACCAATTTTCTATACTGTGAGACTGGTCCATCCTGTCACAGGTGGCCAGCAATTTGCAGAAAACATTTGCGTTTACCTTTCCACTGAAAGGTCAGAAGCCATTTAAATTTGCAGAAAACATTTGCGTTTACCTTTCAGTGGATCAGAAGCCATTTAAGACCATCTCTAAATAAACCATTGGGTGTCTAAATTTACTGGGTAATTTTTACAAGGAACACAACCAGGGCAGGTCCGCTGTCATTCATAGCTCTGAGTTAGCAAATATTGCTACAAAGCCTGCACTAGTCAAAGGAAGTATACAATAGTTGCTTTTAAGCATGATCATAAAAGGTAGGGGAAGGTGTAGTATCCAAAACACTCATCTTAGGCCAAACCATAAGTCAATATTAAGCCTCTATGTGACACTACTGGAAATACTCCCCTAATGGGGGGAGGGCTCTTAGTACAAATGCGAATGTTGCAAGAAGACAGAACTATTTCAAAAACAAACAAAAACACACACAGTTCTAAAAGTGCAGCTATGAGGAATTATAAAACCAGCTAAACTATAAAGAAAGTTTTAAGAAATTAATTTTGGTTTTAAATAATCTTTCCAGATTATGGGGCTGGGACTAAAAGTAAAAACTGAAAGTAACCAGGAAAAATACTTATTTGTATAGTTGTTTGTTTAAGGGATTTTATGCTTGTTTAACAAATGCAGAGTTAACCTCTGAAATGGTAAGTGAAGGTGAATGAATGCTACGCCTCTCCTGGTAAAACAGCCTTTGCTGTGCCTGCAGAAAGAGCGAAGTCACTGGTTCATTTGAATGTCTTGATTGTTCAAAGCTGAGAAACCAGTCTAGGATTGATTTCCTTTTCAAAGATACAGGTTAAAAAGAGATGTGGAAGAATGCATTGTGTTTGCTCTAAATTTTAAATGATACATTAATATGAATTAGAACAATATCAGGTGAAATAATGCATATTAACCATATATAGCTAAACAAATCTATGATAAACAGCATATTTACTGAAATGAAGGCATCTTCTTGGCTGACAGAAACTGCAGCATTTACTGAAAAGCCTATATCCATTTGCAAGTCAGTGTATTTCATCGTTTCCAACCAAATAATAAGCTATAAAGGAAAAACCAAAAGTGTACAAAAAACCAATCATCTTGATTCAGATGATCAGCTTTGATTTTATCTTATTGCTGATTTAAATAATTATTAAAGTTGGAGATGGAAATAACATGAATCATTTTTTACTTCAGTTTATTGTATGTATAACAATGAGGCTTTTATCTGCAGGAAACAATTCCTGAATTGTATATTGTAGATAAAGACAGAAAAATAAATCTCTCCTAATGTCAATAAAATTAGCTTGCCTCAAGGGTATGAGTTGCTTTTCTAGTTAAACAGCCTATGAAAGTAATGCTGTTCCCACTGCCTGAGTTTAAAATTTTTGTGTGATAATTTTCCAGTCCCTCTTTTCTTCCATTTGGCAAACAGCTCCTTCTCCCATTGAGTGCCTACAGCAAGTGTGGGATCCCCCGTGGCTCCATGTGCATCTCTACCACCGCAGCGTGGAGTCTGTGTGCCGGCAGCTCTCACACCCTGCCTCCCAGCCCCTGCTTCAGCTTCTGGCTGCTTTTGCATTTCTCTCGTGCTTTCCCACAGAGATGAGCTGTGGCCCGCAGCAGAGCAGGACCATTCCCTATAGCAGGACCATTCCCTGCCTCTCTGTGCCATGGGTATCCTCACCTTGCAGTGGAGCCTCAGCCTGAGCTGGGTGATTCCCTGGAGAGAGGCACTTTGTCCAAAGGTGTCACATAAACAGGCTGCCTCATCATCTGTCTGTCATAACCCTGCCCTAAGAGTGGGCATCCAGAAATTGCATCTGGTCTGAGTTAACGAGTTCCAGGAGGCTTTACACTGTCAGCTAGGACCAAGTTTCTTTGACCTTGGTTCGAGTGCTGACAAGATCCCGCTGGGCAGGTTGAACCCATCTTCACAGCACTTATCAGGACTGACTAGCCATCTTTGGCTAGCTTTAATATCATCTGCAGTCATGGTTGTCCAGTTCTCTGGGAGACACTCCCTGAGAGATGTAGGCTGTTTCCCTGCTGGTCACATCCTCCCACACAGCAGAAGGACCTAGCCGGCACCAGAGATGCCATTTCTTTCCTCTGTGTCACAGCCACTGCTGAGCACTGAGGTCTCTCCGTTAGAGTAAGAAATGCATATGACTTCAAATGCAGCCATTCTGGTCTGTCAGGGACATGAGGCTCCCAAATATTGTTCTCCAAGATCTGTCACTCAAACTGTGATAGAAGCTTCGTCAAGATGTCCTACATTAGTGAAGAACCCTTCTTTATGCAGTGAGGTAGGTAGTGTTCAGAAATTGCACATCCCTTCTTGGATACTTCTCAGCTGGATACGTTTCAGACTCTCAAAATACCTAAGTGGGTAGCCTTGGCAAATGCATCTCCCTGAGACACAAATAGGAGGTAAGGGACTCTGACCTACAAGTCTTTTTCCTGGAGTCATACCAGGATTGACTTGCTTGCTTTGGCTATCGACCAGAGGAGCAAGGGGAAAAGCACTGTCCAGGCTCACTCTCTGTCCCTTTCCTTGTCCCCATGTCAGAGGAGTTCCTGCCTGTCCCTCTAACTTCAGAGAGACCCCCCAGAAGAGAAAGAAGAGGCTCCTTCCATTTTGTAGTTTGAATGCTGGACAGTATTCAGATGTGGAGTGGATCTCTCCACACTTTGACAGATATTCAGAGTAATTGGAGATAGACTTCTTCTAGAGGGACGTTATTGCCTTAGTCTTCGGAGCTGTCTACTTCTGACCTGAAGACACTCCCTCTCTTTCTTTGAAAGGCTATGCCAACTTGTTCATAGATATAAGTAGCTCATGGGTACACTTAAACAGAAGCCTCACAAGGGCAGGACAGCAGCCAAAATTGCCGTCCATGAGATTTCCAGAAAGAGTATCTGTGGCTACAGTCACGTGAAGTGATTGCGCACAGATGACAGTGTAATCTGCTAGAAATAAGAAGAGCTGTTGGAGCATCAGGAGAGAATTGCTCTTTTTTTTTTGGTATATCCCTGTGCACGGTCCATTCCATTTTTAAAATACTCTAATGGCTGAGACTTTCTTTCCCGTAGAGGATAAGAAATGTAAACCCTTATTTAAATTGGAGGAATGATAGACTTTATTAACATCTTAATAGAAACGTTTTAACTCTATTTATGGGTTACAGTAAATTTTTAGCACATCAGTCAGGTCTATGTTACCTTAAAATAGAAGTTGTAATTCAAGACAAGGCAGGTGGATGTCTGGTACATCTATCAGAGCTTTATTAAGCATCGTATTTAAGCTTAAGATTTATCTGCCTAAATCTAGATAAGGCAAATTCTTCTGATTATGATCTGACAGTCTGTTATTGGCCTCAATTATTTTCAGGAACTTTTCACAACAATTTCATTCAGATTCTTGAGTAATGTTAACTGATGCTCCATGTAACACATGCTTACCTTGGCTTGTTTCAGATGAACTACCTTATCATTGAAGAAAACGTGGACAATGATCCCTGCAAGTTTGCTCTAATGAGCCGGGAAACATCAGAGAGAGTAATTTTACAGGCAGCTAATCCAGAAATTCAACAAGCTTGGGTACAGGACATCAACCAGGTCCTGGACACACAAAGAGATTTCCTAAATGGTATGTACATGGTCTTTGCTCTGTTTCCCAAATTGTGATACTAAATGGGATTTAGAATCTTTGAGTCTTTGTTCCCGCTATGAGAAAAACATTCAGCAACTTCTTTTCAAAAGGAAGATCCCAAGAAGAAAACTAGAGCCCAGTCTGCCTGTCATTAAGCACTGGGT